TTCAAAATATGTACAGTTATATTGGGTATCGGACGCCAGGCCCTTTTGCAACAAAAACAAAACAAACTACCCTCAGGCCATACAAAATCAAAGCAGACCAAACGAACCAGACCGTGACCCTTTGCTTCATAACAATGTGCTATCACACGTGGTGCTGGTGCTGGTGCTGGTGCGAGTGCTGTCAACATCGCCGACTGTGTCGACTGTCCGCCGCCGGAAGAGCACCTCGCCGTCTGGGTTCGGCGTCTTGGACATCATAATCATCATGGGCTGGGGACGCTCCTCGCCGTCCTTCAGCTTCATGTCAAAGTTGATGAGGTAGTACGAGAGCATCATCTTGAGCTCGTTGCCGGCAAAGAAGCGGCCCGGACAAGCGTGCTTGCCGGCGCCAAAGTTCATGTTGGTGTCGCCCAGAGTGGTAAACTGCCAGCGGCGGCCGTCCTCTTCGGAGCGCTGGCGCAGGCGGAAGAAGCGCAGGGCGTCAAAGGTGTCGGGCTCCGGGTAGTGGCGCTCGTCGCGCGAGTAGCCGACCTGGGGCGCCAGGATCTTGGTGCCGCTGGGCAAGCAGGTGCCGTCGGAGAGTGTAATGGGCTGCATGACCTTGCGAATGAAGCCGGCTGAGGTGAAACAAAAATATCCATGGTTAGTGGAGACTATTCTATGACGATACGAGCTGTAGGGACAAGGACGGGACGGGGACCTACTGATGTTTCCCGAGAATCGTTGCACTTCCTTGATGAAGCTGTCCATCTTCTTGAGGCGCACCATGCTGTCCTTGCGTGCCCATGCCTCGTCGCTGTGCAGCACAGTGAGTGCCTCTTCGCGCAGCTCCCGCTGCACGTCCGGGTAGGCGGCCAGGTCAAACATGCAGTCCGCCAGCAGGTTGTTGGTCGTGTGGATCGACGCCGCGCTCAGCACCAGCTGCAGCTCTGTCTGCGCCCGGAAGTCGCGCCGCTCCGCCGCGGGCAGCGTGTCCAGCAGCCACTGGATCAGGTCGTCGGGCTTCTCGTAGCCGGGGATGTCCATGTCGCGCAGCCTCTCCTCCATGATGGGCTGCAGCATGGCCTTGGCACGGGCAATGTCGTCGCGGATGCGGCGCAGGTCGGATACAAAGAACTGGCCGATCGGCCGCAGCCATGCCGGGATGAACTGCAGCTTCACGACAGCCACAAAGACGTGCATGGCAAAGTTGATACTGGTGTCCATCCACTCTTCCTTGCGGTTGATGGACGTGCCGACGAAAGCGCGGCCGCTGAGGCGCGCAATGGCCCGGAGGCCGAACGGATGCACCTTGACCGGCGTCCAGTCGTTGCACTCGGGAAATTCGGTGGCCACGACGTACTCAATCTCCTTGCGCAGCTGCGGCACGAGCCGCGCCAGGTTCTGTGTCAGCTTCGTGCGCACGACGGCCGACAACATGTCGCCATTGTGCCCGAGACTGAATTTGGTGTACTGGCTCAGCATCGCCTCGTTGACGGCTTCGGTGGCGCTGAGAATGTCTTCCGGGAGGCCTTTCAGTTCGGCGATGAACTTGGACGGAATGAGCACCTGCGTGCCTTCCGTGGCCTTGATTTGATAGACTTTGTCGTAGAACTGCACGTGTTAGGAGGCAGGAACGAGCGGTCACACTAGGAAAGTGAAAGGGGAAGCGACGACCGTGCGACACATACTCTATTATAGCTGTCCCGAACAAGGTCTTCGGCGCTGAAGATCCATTTTGTTTTGGCTGCCTTGTAAAAGGGCAGGTTAAGTTTCGGCTTGCGGTGGCCGTGCACGAGGTAGACGGTGAGGAGGACGCATGCGAGGCCGATGTAATAGCTCAGCCGGCTGGCAAACGGGTCCGACGATGCCGAGACGGACTTGGACACAGACGCCGCAGCCATGCGAGCTGCCGGCGCAATGTCGAGCAGCGAGTCGGCCTTGTTGAAGATGTTGTATGTGCTGCTGCGGACGGCCGCTGCCGTGGAAGATGAGTTGGTCATACTGCGGTTGGCGGTGGGGGTGGAGGTGTGAAAGACGAGGATGGCGAGGAGGTTTGGGTCTCGTGGATGCCGTCGATAGTCGGTTGATTTGACAAACCAGAAACCACTTTGATATGATGCAATATTATGGGGCTGAAATTAAGGAGAGTACGCCCTTTTCACGATGCAGGTCGAGGTGAAAAGCAGAGCGGTGGAGCGGTGGTTGGCGGAAAGAGACTGTGGCCATTGAATGACAACAAAGGCATCCAATGAGACAAGGGCGAGTTCAAAGAGGAAGACGATACGATGTCGCGTGTCCTGTTACAGACAGGTGATCGATGTGAGGTTGTGCGGTATCATTGGACTGTGAGAAAGAAGCACGCCGTGACGATTAAGGATTGTGTGGACAGTAATAAGAAGAAAAGCAATAGACGACAAATGGCAAGGGCGAGAAGGGAGTGCAGAATAAAGGAAGAGATGAGGTGGAAAGAATGTAAACGATTGAGGAGGTGAGAATAAAACAACTCGGGTCAACCGAACAGATCCAAACAAAACAAGCCAGGACTGTCCGAAGAGGAGAAGGGAATGGGTAGAGAGGAAGGAAAAAAGAGAAGGAGGCGGAAGTACATCAACGGAGGAGAAAAGAAAAGAAGATAGAGAAAGGAACGGATAGAAACAAAATAGGGGAAAAGGAAGAAAAAAAGAAGTTGGGAGAAAGGACACAAAGGGAAAAAGGCACGGAAGAGGCCCTTTGCGGCGAGGAGTGATGGGCAGGAGGTATGAGATGGATGATAGGCTAGATGTGACCGAAAGCGTAAGGAGAAAAGGCGTTCCGTAGTCAAGAAACCGGAAAGGTGCAGAAACGGCCGTGTCCAGAGTCTGTACGGTAAAGAAGGGAATGTAACGATGTTACTCACCGTAGAACGTGGAAAAACTGAGAGAAAGGAGAACAGAGAATATGGAAAGCCAGTGACAGACAACAAGAAACAAGGTTTCCTAGGCACCAGGCCGGACGTCGAGATGGCTCTTGTTTGGCATCGTCCTGCTTTTTTGTTCTATCCTGTCTGATTCCACGGACGTGCGACGTACCTTTTTGACATAAACGCCAAGCAGGACAGGAGCCGCGGGAGTGTGTTTGGCAGCGGTCCGCGACGAGACTGCGACTCGGCAGTCGAACGGGCCTTTTGGACCAGTCTGGATGGACCACTGGAGTACGGAGCGCCTCCTCCACAGAGCTGGAAACCCGAAGCAGAATGCGATACACAATACGATACAAGCAAGCCACCTTTTACGCCTTTTACGTCGTGCTTTTCCCCGTTTTGGATCTGGCCAAAGCTTCCTTGCCAGGGGGGTCTTTTGGAGCATGAAAATTTAAGGCATGCCATCCAAACAAACAGCGAGCGCCAGAACTTTACACGACACGCAATACTTCTTGTAGCAAAAATACGGCGTACAAGTCACGGAACCCAGCTCTACACACACAACAAAAAAAAAAAAAAAAAAAAAAAAAATACTCACCACAAGAGAAGCAAACAGGCCTGCTGCTGGCTCCGTACCCCGAGCCTCCTCGATCTGCGGCGGACCCGCTTTTGCGACGACCTCACGCAAGCCTGAAACATGAGCCACTTCAACAACGAGAACACAAACCCTGCTCTGCGGAGTAGTTTGTACCTGTTCTCTTTCCACGCCTTATTATTGTCCGCGTCTCTTCTGAAAGAATTGTTCTGTTCGTCGTCCGTAACCCCGTGTTTTCGTTGTTGTCGAGCTTTCAGCCTCTTGTGCTCCTTGTCCTGCTCCGTGGCAGACCAACCCGTTGCCGGCAGTGTGCGTTTCCGAGCAGCAAAACTGCTTGGCAAGAACTGACAACGTACTATGACTACGAAAAGCTGCCTGGGCCCTGAATTAGCACCCGCAAAGGAGAGAGCACAAGATATGCAGATTCTACAACACAATTGTTTGGTCAAGTCTCGTCAAAGCGAAGGACCTTCTCTTTCGCAAGCGGCTCGTCTTAGCCAAGAAACCAATCGTACCCGTCTCCAGCAGTACCCGTTCCCAGACAAGTTATAGAAGAAAAGACGCCTGTGAAAACTGTTTGCAGGCTTTTCAACCCTGCCCTTTTCTCCTCCATATTTGAACCCTTGTGCCGCGTTTCCGAATGGTCCACGTTCCCTGTCATTTCTCGTTGACCAAATTAACCATCTTTTGAGCCTTTTACCTCTGATGCCCCTGATGCGTATTCAGGAAATACACGCCGTCCTATCAATCAAATCGTTGTCTGCTTTCTCATACCCACATTTAAGCTACAACAGAACTTGTTTTCCCACTCCTCTATCTACACCACAGAGGACGTATGCTGTGTCAATGTACTCCTCGGAACTCATGTCTGGGTACCTGCAATAGCCGATTTTCTTTCTAAAAGCAGGCCGTCTGCGTTGCACTCGGCCGGCGTGGTCGAGACGAGGCATGTAGTTGAGTTTGCGTATACGTATCCTTCCTTTGGCCAGAGAAAGTTGCAGCCAAAGAAACATGAAAGCATAAAGCCAAGGCGGGCCTGTCCCAGAACAGTTCATCCACGTTTTATACAGAAAGAGCCATCATGTCAGACAACAGGCTGTCCAACCGAACAACAACTTGTGCAGAAAGCCTCGTATTTTAAAAGGCACGAGTCCCCCGCTAGAGGGCTCGGCCCGCTTTTAGAGCATCGCTCTCCGCTAGCCGCCATTCATGTCGGTGGACACTTGGAAAGAACGTGATGGAGCAAGTACTGACGAGAAGCCACTGAAGGAATTGGACGTGTCAAATATAAATATAGTTACAGAACAACCCAACAAACAAAGTACTATGGAAAGGTAAAAGACGAATACGCAAGACCCAGCAAAGGATAAGTGTAGAAAGCATTTCCCACCAAAAACAATCTGCAAAACGTGTACCCAAAATGTACTCCTAAAATGTGGTAGCCAAAAGACTGGGTATAAACGGGGATACAGAAAATAAACTCGGAAATCTCTGCCACGGCCAATATGTGTAGCAGGCCGGATGTCATACGTGCATTTTAGCACCACCAGAACCCGACTCGCCGTGATTCTCGACAATGAACGAGGAGGATGTCGTCGAAGAACAAGACGACAGAGGCTCTGTGACGGGCCCACCAAAGTATGGTTCTGGAACATTCGTGCCATCATGAGCCCAAAAGTGCACCACGTCATTCTGCCATTGTCCAATGTTGATTACACGCAAGATGCCAGAGAACTCCGTGTAAAGAAGCACAGCGGCCATTGGCGACATGCGCAGGCTCTGTAACAGCCATCGGTTGACAAAATCGGCCTTGTTTCCAGACTCAAAGCGAGAAAGAGACGACAAGATGCCGTATTCTTTGACGTAGTCATCGAGAAGCAGTCGGCGTTTCGGGTCGTCCTCGGGCAGGGCGATAACTTTTCGAATAGCGTCTTTTGGGGCCAGTGGGTATTGCTTGATTGCAAGCAGTGGGTCCGTCACCAACACCGGGAAGCTTGTTGTAACGGGTTTGACATTGGGATGAAGATCTCTCGTCGCGAAGCTTATGGCCATATCATCATCGCCGTCGTATTCGTAGCCGTCGTCGAAATCGAAAGGCAATGATTTGGGAGGCAAATTAACGGGAAGAATGGCCTTGCGAACGCACGTTTCTCGGATACTGGCAACCTGCCACTCGAGGGAGATAATTGCGCCTCGGCGTATCTTTTCCTGCTCGCCAAAGCGCTTCAAAAACTCCCGATCGCTATCGTCCAAATAACCTGCAAACCTCTCCTGAAATAGGTCAGACTTGACAGCTGCTCTTAGGTTCAATTCTAAGTTGTTGAAGTCGGTGTCCTGGTTCCTTCGGCTGCGATCCAACAACAACTGGTTTCCTATGCTCTCCAGAATATCATCACGTTCACTGACAAGGTCTTCGTATTTCTCTCTGGACGCTTTGAGAGCGCTAATCGTTCGGAGAAGGTGAGTGTAAAGGGGGTGCACGTCCCCCGGTCGTTCGCCGGAAATCCCAAGAAGACATTCATCAGGTGGCACCATCGAATATACCGAACGAGAGACAGGTGCGGTCTGAACTCGTGGGTCGCTTTCTCTGCCGCTGCTGTTCTGGAAACGTGTGTGGTTCGTCGCGGGTCGAAACGGGATATTCGCCAAAATGGACATCTCTTGTCCAGAAGCATCTGCGACAGACGGGATGCTTTGAAAGAACCGCGACTCTGAGACCTCGAGCTTCACCTCACGCAGGTTCAATTCCGTTTCCAACTTCTCGTACTGCGCCTCCACAGTTGCGTACGTATCATGAAGGCTGCGGACCTTTTCAATGAGCAACGCCGACCGAACAGGAGGAAGTGCTTGCCCGGACAGCGAGTGTGAAAGAGCTAGGCGATGAAGGGCGTTGTCAGCCTTGGTTTTTTCGGATCGTAAGCTTTGGATCTGACTGCGAAGCTCCGACATCCTCTTGTGATACCGCCGCACCCCTTGCCTTTGATTGAATAGGTCAGCCCATAGGTTTGAGATGGCGGGGATGGTGTTGGCCTTCTGCGAAAAAGCAATATTAGTGCCCATGAGCTCGCCATCGCTCATTTGGGGGCGGGCATAAATGTGGTCGTCGTCGTAACGGTAGCCAACGACTGGTAAGTACGCGGCCGGATCAGGGTCAGCTATCGGGCCGCTGGAAAAAGCGGGGGATACCCCAGACCACGTTTGTACCGGTGGAAACACCCGCATATCCCGGCGAGCCTTCCGGCCTGGTGAAGAAACGCCAGAGAAGATGTTTGAATCTTCACTGTCAGAGTAGGCAGCGTCGGGAGGGTCGAAAGGCATGAAAGGATTGGGAGGTCGCCCAGCGGGTATATTGCCAAGAGGTAGGTCGGATGGTTTGTCGGAGGGCATGGCGAGGGGCATGTGGAAAGGTTCATGGCGGGCTTCGTTTTGAAAATCCGCATGGGGAGTATTTGAAGCGGCGGCAACGGGAAAATGTAGATGTCGAGTGGCCAAGTAACCATCCGTTTGGTTATTTGGCATGTCGCAAGAGGTATCACGACGGTGATGCGTCTCTTGTACGGCGTTGAAATCGCTCTTGAAGATCGGCTCGCGTTCGTGAAAAGTATATCTTGTGTTCAGCATTTCAAGATTGTCGGGAGTCGACGGCGACTGTAGTGGTTGGCCTGCTGTTGCTGCCATAGCCTAGCCTTGCCGTCGCCGACCAGCGCCGACGCAATACCGGAAAGAACAAGGCTAGCTTGTATGATAATGTGACAGTTGGATGGGAGTGGAAGTAGCTCTGGTAAGTAAGGCTGTGAGAATTGTGTCAGTACTCGCGACTGCGGAAAAAGTACAAGACCTGCAGAGAGAGCCAGCAGCCATATGAAGTCCTGACGCAGCCATACTCACATGCACCAGATGGGACACGCAATGCTGGGAGACGGCGCAAGATGCTCAAACTTCACTGACAAGGGCAAACAGAACGCGACAGGTCCAGCTCCAAGGGAGGAAAGTAAAGTGCGGCTCTGCCCCCAATCCAATGGAAAATCATGCCAGTTTGCTCTGGGCGGCAAGCCAATGGTGTTTGGTGTGGCAAAGCGCACAAAACAGGGCGACCACTCACAAGCCTCTCTGCTCGGTTAAAGTGATGAAGTGTTGCCTTGGACAAGCAAATCGGGCGGGATCAAGTCGAAAGCACAACAGCGGTGCGGGGGAAAGGCACTGAAAGTCTGGTGGTCGTGTCAAGAAATAAAGCCGTGTTTGCTGGTTGCCGCTCCTTTTTCATTCGACAAAGTCGCAAAGTAGCACCTCTCACATATTGACCGACGTCGGTTTTGGAGTGCAGAAGCTGAGTTTATTTGGTATTTTGAAAATGGCGACCGTCCATATTTTGTTGGGATCGAGAGGCGCTCTTTCCATTCCTGGGGATATTCTGCTCTTACATTGGCGATAGCACCTTCCGCCAGGTATTTTCTTGCCCTTCGTCAAATGACTTCTCTTTGGAAGGAACAACCGGCACAATTCAGTCCGTGGGGGAGGAACGACTGGGCAGGAACTCTGACCTCCAAGCCGCACCTTCTTGCCGTGCTACTTCCCATAACCTGTCATTGACCACACACCACCTTCCCAAGCCAGCACATCAAGGAGGGCAGGCTGCCCGAGAGTGATAGCAACTCTCTATTAAATCAACACAAATCCCTCACAACAAGAGAGTTTACAGCCACAACATGCGGCATCCTAGGTCATAAAAGTAAAATTGCTACCACACCAGGCAACCTCCGCCCTGTCGTTTTGCACATTGGTTCCTGTGATCCTCTCATTGTTGCACCTTGTTCAGTCAACCACCCTCTCAGGCACTGACGCCATGCACAGCAGCCTATGTCACCCACATCACATTTCGATGCTCAGGCATCTGCACAGTCTCGCAACTAGGCTGCCTGCCAAAGGGAGAGTACATCCTGTGCCTTACCAAGTCTTCGTTACACCCATTCCTCTCCCACTGACTGCGGCCAGGCCGCTTCGTCTTGTACATTACAAGCGAGCACAAACGCCGTAGTTCTGCACATTTTCATGTCCTGATTCGCATAACAAGCGGTCTGACACTGCCCTCACAGCCTGAAGGCACAAAAGGTCGACGGCCACGAGGCTACGAACTCGTTATGGATAGAGCTGCAGCAGCACTGGAACGCTCATATATGGCCAGTGCTGCTGCATTGCCGTCACGCTGTCGTTTGTCAACCATTTCTTGTATTTTTCCTGCCTGGTGATCTATGTTCCACTCTACATATTTTGTGATTCATTCCACTTTTATTTTCCCGTCATCTTTAGCTTTCCCAGTATGGAAGAGAGGAGTGAAACAGGCAGACTTGCTGCGACAGCAGCGGACGGCGATGGCCATACGCAGGTCGAGAATGTCCCTTCCACCGCCAATATTGCCATCCCACAAACCATCGACAGCAGTGCATTACCATTAGACGAAGTGGTCGACACACTTGCAGAGCTAGCTGGTGGTCTCCATATCACATCAGCCAAGTCGTCCACCGCTCCCAATCCAAGGCAGGAATATCGGGAGGAGAGAGACGAGGCCCACATAAAGACCGTCGACACGTTAAGCTCGCCTCCACTCGCTCTTGGTTCTTACGAGCCAGAGGAAAAGCATAAGCGTTTTCAATCGTCTCGTTCCGTATTCGCCAAAGGTCCATACGATTTCCATACAGCACAGGAGCAGACTGAGGTCGTTTGGTCGCCGGTACTCAACCAAAACGCATACGGCCAGCTACAAAGCACGTCCTATCATGCAAACAGCGGGCCCTGGCGGTCTTGGGACACTCCAGGCCAAGCGGGCACCCAGGAACTGTTGCAAGATCCTGTATATAACGCCTCCTCCGGCCAGGGGGTCAGCCACGGCCAAAATCAATTCTACTCGAGCCACCGAAACTCAGCTTCAGTCGACGCAAGCTGGATGCAGGGCCAGACTCGCCCTCAAGAACACCACAGAAGTTTTTCAAACGGCCCATATGGAAACGGTGAATTTAATGACACCTTTGGCGGGTACGGAGCTCTCGGATCATCGGACACAGGAACTGCGCAGTATCAAAATCGACCGAACCACAGCATCTACAAAGGTCGCCCTGCTTCAGGTACACCTATTATTCTAGCAAAACTTTCAGGCAGGGTTTTTTTTAAGTAGCGGCTAACTCACTGCTTTCCGAAGATTTTAATCAACCCATCTCATCCTCGACACCCGTTGTATATGGCCAGGCAGCGACAACCTACAGCAGATGGCAACAGGATTATTCATCAGGGGGAACTCCGTACGGTACGAAAACGTGGTGGAACTATACATCTTATATGTTCTTGGTCGAATGATCCGCAAATCCTTTTTGAAAGCCTTACTGATGATGCTTTCGTAGGATACCAACACGGTGTCGGAACCGGAATTTCAGATGGATATAATTTCCCCAAAAGCAACCTGATAGGCATGTCTTTCACTTCTATACCCACCGTGTCTCATTAACCCCATAGTATCCTACTGACATTGACTTTGTTCCTAGGTGCTGGCATCGACTCCAGAATCGACGATCTAGCCGAAGGGGAGCTTTCCACAAGGACATCTCAACCAAGTAATACAGTCTATCAAAACTAAGCCTTCGGCGACGTCGTGTGCTAACGTTCCATATCCAGGACTGGTATCTAATACGTACGCTTTGCCAAAGTCACCAACCGCACCGTTGCCAGGCGCCTGGACCTCATATCAACCCGGGCCTCCTGAGCACCGTCCTGGATTCACCCCCCAGGCAGGACGGAGCACATGTACGATCTCTATCTCTCATTCATAAAAAAGTAGAATACTGACCAGGATGTGCAGTGTATAATGTTCACCCTACAAGGGATTTCAGGGAAGGACGGGTAAGTCATTATCTCCAGAGTGGGAGGAAATAATATGACTTGAGGCTTCTAACATATTCGTTTGTCTAGGTTTTCAAAATCGACTGGCCGGAGCCAATGGGTTCCAATGCCGGCAGCACCCTTACATCCGGTAGCGACAACAACGTCTTCCATAAAAAGCGGCGATTTATCGTTACCTCCACCTTCCCCGGACATAGCATTTGCCTGCCCATATTTACCTACGGCAATCGCGGCTGTAACAAAAATGTGAAGGCGCTCCAGCATGGCATCGTGTATAGCCAGGGTCTTGAGCCGAGATTGACGCCCGGTGAGCCGGCCCTTGGCTACGATCCCATCATGATGATTCCAACCAGCTCGGAAAAGCTCAGCAGTGTGTCACGAATCAACTACGCCAAACCCCAAAGCGTGGAGCACAATACCAAGGTGCATTTTATTGGCCACATTGACGAAAGCCATACAGGCTCGATCCTCCAAAACATGCTCCATGCCATGCAAAATCACAAGCTTGACACTTAGGCACATCAACCTACTTGGAGGCCGGAAGCCCAGTTAGCTCTCTGTAGTACATGTATTCGTCTGGAAAGTGTTAATTTTGTACCTCTCGGTATACTCCCGTGTGTATATTTCTTTGCCTGGTGATATCCACAGGAGTTGAACAGGGTCCTCGTCTTGCATCAGATTTCAACGCTACGTTTAGATACCAGTTGATTTATTGATTTTTGGGGGGTGGGGGAGTTTGCGCGTGATTTTCTCTTTAAAAACTAATCTCTATATCTTTTTTTTTTACTTCATTTTTCTTGCCAATTTCTGGCTCCAAACAGGCAAGTGCTTGTCATTATTTCTGCTTATATATTATCCACCTGTTCGTTAGAACACAAGGGTTGCCGGAAATAAGTAAATAGAGCATAAACAAAGCGATAGTACAATATACATAACGATCATTCTAAAATTCCGAACAGGATTTTTTTCGTAGCACCAAAACATACACAGATAGCAGGCATAAAATATGGATACATGTGTATATGGTAGCCATTGCAACAACGAATGTCTACATCACTATTCGAGTATGAGTACGGGAAACAAGCATTTCAGTTTTCTCAGATTTTTTTTCTTTATTGATTTTGGAAAGTAGGGACAAAAAACTCGCAAGCCCCATTATCCCATCCCACTCCGCACGTCCTGTGCCTCTCGGTTGCCGAAGTGTTTCAAAGAAGAAGGACCATAGAAAAAGAGACACAAGCCTCTTTTATATTTTGAACAATGAAAATAAGACCACAGATGCCCGTCCTGTGGACAACAGGGACAGAAGCACAGTATAGGGTCAGGAAGAGGGAAGTGAAATGGGTTCCTTCTCCGCCGATCTTCATCTCCGCCCTCTTCGCTTTGTCCACTGCCGCACACAAGGTGTTTGGTTTTCGTTTTTGGTTGCTGGCTCTCGCTTGTCCTGACCTGTCCCAAATGCACGCCAATAACCACTGAACCTTTTTTCAACACCCGTCTCCTTTTTTCACACAGAAAACATTTCTCCTACCATCTACCGCCCCGGTGAAGCATTTATGCCTCAGTCAGGGCGCGGCGGACGCGCTGGCCACGCTGTCTTGAGGACAGGTGGGCAACCGACGAGGCGGTGCTCTCGCCCTTGGCAACGGTCTCTTCAGCCTCGGTCAGGATCAGCTCGATGTGGCAGGGGTTCGACATGTACGGGTTGATCTGAGAATGATTGTTAGCGGTAGGTTACAAAACATAGCAGCCCCGTCACAAAACACCAGAAAAAGGACAGAGCACATACGCGACCGTGGGCGCGGTACGTCCGCCGCCGCTGCTTGGGGGCCTGGTTGACCTGGATGTGCTTGACGACCAGGTTGCTGGTGTCGAGACCCTTGGCGTCGGCGTTGGACTCGGCGTTCTTGAGCAGACCGAGCAAGAACTCGGCGGACTTCTTGGGCCAGCGGGCCTTGGAGACACCGAACTGCTTGCCCTGGGCGGTGCGGCCGGTGGAGCCGGCGTACCGGCGCATGGGGACAGCCTCGACCTTCTCCTTGACGTTCTCGAGGAAGGTAACAGCGCGCTGCAGCTTCCAGCCGTTGATGGCCTGGGCGGTCTCGCGGGTGTTCTTGAACGACACGCGCAGGTAGGCGCCGCGCGCGCGGGCCGACTTGGCGGGGGCAATCTCCGTGGCGGCGTAACGAACCTGTAGCGAGATGAAAGGAAACTCCGGTTAGTCTTGCCGTCTCCATGTAAAGAGTCATTCCGCATTATTTGCACATTTGTTTTTCCTCCCATCATAGACCAAATCGCGACCGACTTAGTCTACTGTTGGAATTCAAGCCCCAAACCGGTGCTGCTGCTTGTCCGCCGTCTGCTCTGCGTCTTCTTGTGCTTGCCGTCGTCTCACGTCGGTGGTACGCTTCGTTGTCCGATACATTTCAACGATCCGACTTGGGTCACCATCTCGAGTGCTAGCATTCGGCCGTAACTAGTAAGCGCATTGTGTCGTTCCTTCGCACGTCCTCTTCGCAAGCCAGTCCGGTATTTGAATTGAATCAGAAGTCGGTCGAGCGTCAACTAGTCCGAGGGTGCAATGTCGTCGGTAGGATCCTTTCTCGTTGGGGCAAATGTCGCTTGTCGAGGTTCGAAAACGTTTCGTCGCGCGAGGTCGAAGAAGAGGCAGAAGCAGGAGGGCGGCCACAAGCTGGCAGTATCGGTCAAGTGCAAGAATGCCGCATCGTCCAAACGTATTCACGACCGACTTACCATCTTGTCTGTTGGGTGGTGAAGACGGTGGGTGGTGGTGTAGATTGTTGATGATGGGAAACGACGAAAATGGGAGAGCGAACTTCTCTGCGTGAAAATCGACACTCAATATTTTTTTCTGGCTGGGCCTTTGCGAGGGAAAGAAAGAGTGGGGCCGCACGCTTCGAAATTTTGTCGCCCACTGGCGGGTCGGTTTTGTAGTCTCACGGGGGGCAGAGAGTAGAATGTCGAGTTGAATGTCGGCTAGGGTTGGGCTGCCCTACGTGGTGACTGGCAAAAGCAGGAGGAAAAGATGGGACCAGCTTAAAATCTTTGTCATCCAAATGGACTTAATGCACGTGACTCATATGATGAAATAGTGGGTCGGTTCCAGACTGTCGGACGGGATAAGCAATATACATTATCCGTGATGGGCCTGCGGTAACTAGTCGTGATTGGCTACGGCAGAAAAAGGCGGAAACTAAAAATTTTGTCCCTTCATTGGATGGCGGACCTAGCAACTTTTTTTTGTTGGTCTCTGTTCTACCTTCGCCGCCTCGCTCTTTTCCCCCTAGCAAAAAGTTTTGCCTTTGACTTTTTTTGCCAATTTGACTTCACCTCTCGCAAGGCAAAAGCAAGGATCCCCATTCGAGCATTTTCTTTTCTTCTCGTTCTTTTTCCGAGAGCCCTCACGTTTGCAGCGCTCAGCTTGCTGCTCTCTCCTCTCTTACTTCTCCCGGACCTCTCGAATACAAGATGGGCTTCGTTCCTCGCGGTGGTGCTCGCGGTGGTAGCCGTGGCGGCTTTGGCGGCGGCGACCGCGGTGGCCGCGGTGGCTTCGGTGGCGGTCGTGGCGGTGCTCGTGGTGGCTTCGGCGGTGCTGGCCGTGGCGGGCCGGGCGGCGCTGGCGGTCGCGGCGGTGGCCGTGGTGGTGCTCGTGGTGGTGCTCGTGGTCGTGGCGGCCGTGGTGGCGGTCGTGGTGGTGCCAGCGGTGCCAGCGGTGGCAAGAAGGTCGTTGTTGTAAGTTGAGATTCCAAGTCCAGCTCGAGCTCAGGTTCGAGCTTTTTAAAGGTCACAAAGGGGCGCATAGTTAACAAGCTGTTTTCTTTCTGATCAGGAGCCGCATCGTCACAAGGGTATCTTCGTCGCTCGCGGCGGCAAGGAGGATCTGCTGGCCACTGGCAACTTCGCCCCTGGCATCTCGGTTTACGGCGAGAAGCGCATTACTGTCGAGAACACAGCCAAGAACGAGGACGGCACGCCAGCTGGCAAGGTCGAGTACCGCATCTGGAACCCTTTCCGGTCCAAGCTGGCTGCCGGTATTCTGGGCGGTGTCGACAATCTGTTCATCAAGCCCGGCTCCAAGGTCCTTTGTACGTCCCAGCTGCGCTGCGTGTGGCGCCGATTATTGAAGAGCTCCCTCAACGTCTCTTCTTTTCCGATTTACTAACATATGTGCGTCGTCCAGACCTCGGTGCGGCCTCTGGCACGTCCGTCTCCCACGTTTCCGACCTGGTCGGCCCCACCGGCATGGTGTACGCCGTCGAGTTCAGCCACCGTTCTGGCCGTGACCTGATCAACATGGCGTCCAAGCGCCCCAACATCGTCCCCATTGTCCAGGACGCCCGCCACCCGCTCAAGTACCGCTTCCTCGTCCCCATGGTCGACGTCGTCTTCTCCGATGTCGCCCAGCCCGACCAGGCCCGTATCGTCGCCCTCAACTCCAGCATGTTCCTGCGGCAAGGTGGTGGCCTGCTGCTGAGTATCAAGGCCAACTGTATCGACTCGACGGCGGCGCCCGAGGCCGTTTTCGCCAGCGAGGTGCAGAAGCTCAAGGAGTCGCGCTTCTTCCCCAAGGAGCAGCTGACTCTGGAGCCGTACGAGCGTGACCATGCCCTCGTCGCGGCCGTGTACCTGCAGAAGGAGTTCGAGGGTTAAACTGTGCAGCCCCCCGTTCATTTGGTTGAATATGAGGTGTGGGTGGTTGCGACAGTGAGGCTGTAGGCGAGAGAGAAGAGGAATCCGAGAACGACGGCCAAGGCCCCATATGGCGCCCAAGGGCCGTCTATATGGAAATATCTCGTCTGTTCTCTGTGTCCACTTGTCTCACGTTTGCCTCCCTACCAAAGCGCGCACTCGCTCGGCGTCTTGTTTCTGCTTGTTTACACGTTGGCTTATATCTGGGTTTGGGTCTTTTTTTGGATTTGCTTTCGTCACTTTTGCCGCCTGTTGTCATCCCTCTATGTTTTCGTCTTCTTTTTTTCATTACCGTTGCGCTTTTGGCACCGTTTCGTTGGCACCCACTACCTCGGCTTTTGCATGTCTTTGTTGTCCATTGCAGCAAAAAAGAGGCGCATCCGGCGTTCGTACGGCGTTGATGTTTCTCTTGTATGATATTAATTTTATGTGTTTTTATCCATCTAAATTCTATCGCCTATGCTATGTACGTGCGACTTTTGTCTCGATTCGTATGCGCTGAACTTGTTTCCGGGAGCTGGCTTTCTAAATTTCTTCGTCACATTTGACCTGTTTTTGGAAAAGAGGCATTTCATCCCGCACCAATGGCCGTCATGGTGTCTCTTTCAGCTGTGCACAACATGCTTTCCCCCCGCGATGCGCACTACGCACTTGACCCCTTTAGTCGTCATTCGCTTGGCGGGGAACGGCGGCTCCAGGCGGCTGTTGGACTTTTGTTTGTCTGGCGGATCGACGAAAACAAAGGAAATGCATTTTGTGCCCATCCAACGACTAAGTCGATGCATGTTCCAGAAACTCTGCAATTTCCCGAGTGTAGCCGTTTTTCAGCTGGCAAAGGTCGTGTGAGGTTGGTTCGTGACAGGAAGGGGCCACAGCATCTTTGTGCATATATATGCACTCGTCCTGCCCAGTCGACTTGGCTGGTGTTGTCACTGCTCGTGGATCAACGGCTGTACGATATGGTATTCATCATATGATGCTCGACGATTTCGACGAGAAGCGCAACAACTCGATGCCCCGACGTTACGAACAGCCGCATGACAACGCCATGATGACGTCTCCTGCGATGGCCCGGTTATCAACTCGGTGTTGTCAATTTCCGCCGCAGCCGCCGTAAGATGGCCACAACCAGCCACCGCTTGCGCTCTGTCGCGTCCTCGATGCCCCGGTCGACACACCATGACCGCTCGCGGTCGTCGCAGTTCCGCTCCCAGATGGCCTCAATCTCCATGTTGAGCGATGCCAGCAGCTCCTCGTTGAAAAACGCGACCACCGAGGCCCGGCCTGTATGAAAACCACCGACGACCCAGCACCGAGCGTCGTCGTCCTGTTTGAGGAACCAATCGATGGACTTGCGCAGGTTGTCGTGCTCCCACGGCATCCACAGACAGTCGCAGACAAATACACGGTCAAACGAGTGGTGACCCGTCTTGGCAATGTCCGCGTCGAACTGGCCCCATTCGTGGCCGTCCACTGATACGACAGCCGTGGACGTGGGGTTCTTTGTTGGCAGTGTTGACGTTGTTGGCTCGGTTGATGATGCTGACGCTGCTGACGCTGTCGACGCCGAGGTTTGCACTGGCACTCGCGTGACATTCCGCGCCAGGTTCGCCCGCAGGTTTTCGAGCACCACTTCGGACGGGTAGTCGGTAACGGCCACACGAGTTGCTCCGAGCAATGCAGCCAAGATGGACGGCAGCGCGGTGCCCGCACCAAGCTCGACGCACGAGCGGCCGGCCACGTCAAAGTTGGAGACTGGGTAATGCTCGCAGACGACGGGGTCTTCAGCAATGGCCGTGGGCGGGCCCGATCCGGGCAGGCGAGCAATGGTGCTTTGTCGGCCGTACTTGGCTGCATCCTTGGCAACGTCCTGAGCGACGGCCAGCGTGCCCGCCTCGACCAACTTGGCCAGCAGCAGCGACGAGTTCCAGACAAAGTGGCTAAACAGGTTGCGGTCGGCCAGGTCGTCGGGGTCAGTCACGCACAAGTGCAGCGGCTCGGGCAAGTTGGGCGATGTGTAGAGGACGCCATGGTCGGCGTCGCCGTGCTGGTTGATGATATCGCCGGGGAAGATGACGCTTAGGGCGGAGCACAGATAGTCCTCGGGCTCTTCGCCAGGTGCTCCCGTAAGGCTCACGCGATCGACGAGCGACATTTGCTTTGGGGACGGAGGAGAGAGAAAGACACGCAGTTGCTTTTCTTGCGTTCTACTGCCTCCTCCGACCAGACTGTTTAGTCCTGCTCGTGCAGAGACGAGAAAGCGCTACACAATTTTCTCGCAAGCGGTAGTCGCTACCATGATGGGGCATGCTGATAGCCATGTCGCTCCTTCCGGTGGGGAATCGGGCGTGACGACGTTGTTTTTTCCACTTTCCGTCAGCGAAGGGGAAAAATAGGCACTGCTGTAAAGCGGTGCTCGGAATAATTCGCATGAAGACGTGCTCATGCACACGCTCCTTTGTTTTTTTAGTCTTAACAACGTTGCACAGGAGACAGGCTTTTTTAATAAGAAACTACTATTTGATTCGAAAATTAAGCAAGGGTATCGGTATATCAAGCCGCCTTTTTCAAGTTGTGTCCCGTGGAAGAGATGAGCGAAGAAGGGACACGGCTTGCTGGAGGAAAAAGCCAGTGAAGAGCGAAGAAAAGAAAAAGAACAGAATCGCGAGCTCCAGAAACAAACAAAAACATCAGGAAAACGGCTATTAGAACACTCCCAAAAAAAGGATTGTATAGTAGTAGAAACCCAGAAACCGTTCGTAAATCCCAGCATCAAGTCATTAAGCCCAGTAATATATAAGTGCCTCAAGAGTGGGGTCATCTCTTGGGCCCAGAAACAAGAGAAATACGCGGAGAAGGCACAGAGGGGATGCTGAAAGGCTCAAAGGAAGAAAAGCACCCCTCAGATGCCGGCCTGCATCTGTTTGATCTGCTCGGCGGTCGGGTCGTCGGAGATCCAGGGACCCTTCTCCTCGTCGGTGGCCGTGAGGAAGCCCTCGGCACGCTTGAGGGTCTGGACATCCAGATCGGTCACGTACGCCTTGCCGTCCGACAGCTTGAGGCGCACCTCGTGCTCGGTCGACAGCATCATGTCGTCCTTGGCCAGGCGGCGAGGGCCCTCGAACACGGTCATGACACGCTTGCGCATGGTCATCTGGCCCTTGTCGAAGCCCCAGGACGTCGGGTAGTTCTGCCGGCTACGGCGGGACCGTGGCTTGCCGGTGAAAGGGACGCCGCCACGCGAGTGCGTGAGGCCGCGCGACTTTTGGACGCCGTTGGCAGGGCCCGTCTTGGTCTTCTTGGGCGAGCCAGACACGCCGCGGAACGAGCCGTCCTTGGGGCTCTCGTCGTCGCCAGCAGCGTCCTCGTCGTCCAAGTCGTCCTCGTCCTCGTCGCCGCCGCGCGTCGAGTCGGCGGCCGCAGTCGAGAAGACCTGGTTCTTTTCCAGCGTCGCCTGGACCTCGCGGTCGTTCTCAACCTCGGCGAGACGTGAGGCGTTGACCGCCTCGGCCGGGTCTTCTTGCTGCACAATGCGCAGCACACAGTCGTCCAAGTGCTCGTAAAAGTCCTGCGCATTGGAGAAGGTCTGGGAGCACGTGCTGCACTTGCCAGTGGCGTCGGGCGCGTAGGTTGACAGCTTCTGGGGGTTGGCACTGCTGGAGCCGGCAGGCCGCTTGCGGCTGTTGGGCGGGTTCTGCTCCACGCCGTGCACCGAGGTCAAGTGCCGCTTGAAGACGTCGGCACGGTTGAACGACTTCTCGGCGGGCGAGCCGGAACCGGGGCAGAAGCCACAGACCATGGTGCCCTTGTAGTGGGTGAGGGTGTGGCGGTTCTTGTCGTACTTGCGGGCGAAGCCCTTGATGTTGTACTCGCAAGTCTGGATGGGGCACTTTTCCGGGCGTTCCGTCAGATGCGTGAGCATGTGTGCCTTGAGGTCCTTGAAGCGGCGGCCGCAGGTGGGATCCGGGCACTTCTCCTTGCTCTCGCCATCGGACGAGGTGGGGTCAGCCGAAAATCCAGAAAAGGAGCTTCGACTATCCTGGCTGCCACGGCTGGCCTGGCTGCGCTTGTCGTCCATGGGGGTGGGCGTGAGGTAGGGGCTGCTGAATTGAGGGTAGGCGCCAGTGCCGGTGGCGTAGGGCGAGATGGCGTCGGCTTTGAGCTCAGGCGAGCGTCTGGGCGAAGCTGCGTAGGCGGTAGGGTTGGGTTGCTGCATTTGCGGGTAGGTGTCGAGGGTCGGGATGCCCATTGTGCGGACATGAGACTGAAGAATGGCTGGATCTGCTATAGAAAAAAGAGTGCGGAGATAAAAGCGTTAGCTAGGATCCCCCGTAGTCTGACAAGGCATTTTTGGCCTGAAACTTTTCTTTACTGCCGAAAATCTATCAACTGCAAAAAAGAACAACGATTTGATGAGGCTTTTTCTCGTTTCTCGTCTCATGTTTCTTCGTCCTTTTCCTTTTCCTTTCCCTCATTATGTTTCATATTTTGGGGTGTGGTACAACTGCCGTCCGCATTGTACATAGGTTACGTACCAATAAACGATTTTGGCTGGGGGTACTCAAAGTGCGCAAACTCGTCCATGTGGCTGTTGGTGTAGCTGTACTCGCCAGGGCCAAAGTCGCCTTGGCTCATAATGTTTGGGCTGACGCTGAGAACCTGTGGTGCCGGCCACTCGGGCACGCTTGTCGGGATGTCGTTGTGCGAACGGGGCGAGCCGACTGCGGACGAAGGCGCGGACGGGCCGGAGGCCGTCGACAGGCTGGATGAAGAGATGCGCATTTCGGAGTCCTCGTAGTACATTGTTGGTGACATGTGGTCACCAAACATGCTCGTGAAAGGCAAATCAGTGGTGTAGAGGATGTTGTTGCTGCCGTCGTCGAAGGGTCCAGATGCTGGCGGGAGGAGAGTCTGCTGCGATCTGGGAAAGAACCGGCTGGGTGACATATGCTGGTTGGTGTTCAGAGACGATGACGGGAAAACACTCTGAAGAGGCTCGGGATAGAGCGTGTTATAGTCGTCGGAGCCGTTGCTCATATTGTCGACTGGGAAGGAGAGAAAGGGGGAAATATGAGAAGTAGGGTTCTGAAATAAGAGGCGCAGGCTCCTCCAAAATACCGTTTAGGAGCAAGAGAGGGAAGCTAGTGCTGGCAAGAATGCCAGAGAGGAGGAACAAAGTGCCAATAGGTGTGCTGGGAGTGTGAGACCTGTCGAGTTGAGATGCTGAGGGATGTCTCATAAAAGTAGAGCAGCGGCTGGAAACTGCTAGTGATTGTCAACGAGATGACCCTAAAGACATGTTGGTTAGAGTGCGTTTCTACGAGATCAACATTGTCCTAGGCTAGAAAAAGAAGAAGAACGCGGGAACAGCGTCCGGCGTGCTCGGCGTGGAGTGGATTTTGCATTTCTTGAGAAATTGTAACTTACCCAAAAGTTGTATTCCTTGTGTGAAGAGCCTTGGTGAAAATAAAGTCGAATTAGGTAAATCCAGGGGGATTGGTCAATTAGATGTTGTTTGTAAAATATGTAAAGTGTGGTCGAAAGCTTTGACAGAGACTGTGAAGGCAAGTCCGGGAAACGAGGGTGAGGAGCAACTTGTATGAAGAAGTGAGTGGAAGTCAACAAGATGCAGAGGCAGTCAGCAACAGCATATGTCCAAGAATTGGAATGAAGACGAGAACAAGTGGGAAGCGGCCGTCCGGTTTGGGATGTGGGAATATGGGGCAGTCGACGAGAGATATATACTCAGATGCTCCACGCTCTCTGTGTTTGCCTTTGATAGAACAGAAAAAATAATGGCCGTCGCTGGTCCTGCACAAGACGCAGTCCCGCGAGGATCTCTGTTCTGTGTTGGATAGGGCATAGACGAAAGAAGCCAAAGAAAGAGGCTTGGACATGGGTATCCGGTAGGCAGGGGGGAGGGGTGTGAAAAGACTTGGAGATGCGGGTGTGTGGGGGTGTGCACAAAAGACAGCCCAAGAAAATAAGACAAAAGGAAAGGTACACTGGTACCAAGACCAGTGACAAGGCGCCATGTACTCCGTACTGTCGTACCTTAGTTCTGTGTCCCCCCCCTGTGGGCTCCCTGGTCGAGTCTGAACCCCAACGTGCACCCCGTGTCGTTTACCTTTTTCTTTCATTCTTTCAGGTTTTCTGAATCAAAAGAGTGGATAGCAGGACCTGCTTCCTTTTTCCTACGTCTTTCTTCCCCAGTGGGTATGCTTGGCGGGCTTTCTTTTCCTTCCTTCCCTTCCTTCCCTTCAGAGGCGTGTGAGATGCGGCTGGCGTGCCAAACTCTCATTGCCTGGCTCTGTCCAGTGCCGCCGGCATTTTGGCATCGTTGACGAGGCTTAATGACAGTATGGTGCGTCAAGGCCGTGCCTTGGCCTGGCCAGTTCTGGCCGGTCCTGTCCCACTCGGAGACCTGTTGGCGATGCGGTCTTGGGGTGGAAACGCGACCATTCCTAGTCTGGAGCAGAGAAGCGAAAAACACGGCAGCGGAAAGGACCCTACGAATGTGGCCCTGGGGCTCGCGGATCATAATGAGCTGTGTTAATAACGTTATTTTCGCGGGAAGAAACTGAGATACCGTAAGCCTCTTTGGAGGAACATTCCGCGCTGGCCAGCCAGGCCCCTTTCTGAGAAGGGCATTCTCAGGCTGCTGCCCACCGTCTGTGCAGACTGTGCAAACAGCAAAACGTCGTAAGAGATGGACAGCGAGAATGGGGGTTACAGACTGTTCAGGGGACGGCCGAAGATGTGCTGGTGGTGTCAGCATCACTTTATTGTTTGTGTTGATTTTTAACGTCTCTCATGGCAGTCGACCCAGGGCGCCTTTCAGTGCCCCTTCCGTCCCACTTCCCAGTTTGGCTCTCACCACAGTATCTTGTGTCTCAGACGAAGGAGCAGGAAAGAACGACCACGGCTCGGAAATCGCAGCTACGGAAGGAGCTATTTGCAAGTAATTTTCCATCGTTTTATGTTTCGTTTCTAATTTCAGTCGGAATCCAGTGACAACAATAAGAAATGAAAATTGGTCAATAAAACGACTGGCCGCAGAGCACACAGCTTGTGAAGTGAGAACAGGATTTCGTACGAGATGCGAGAAGTACTCCGTGCTGTCTTGATCCGTTTGGGAGGCATTGGTGCCGTGTATTACTCCTTAATCAACCGAGGCTCCAGGCAGTTCCTAGGTTACAGTCCAACTCTGAACTGGGCAGGCATAGCCAGATTGGCGGTCGTCAGTCTCGTGTGTCTGTATGCCTGTCTGTCTGTGTGTTAGTCGGCCGCTCGTAAATGGTACCAATGGGAGCCAGCGCCGGGGCGTGTATGGTGTGCAACAAGGTCGCGCCTTCCCCACGGAAGATGGAACCAAGAGCCGCCTGCTGTTTCCCCTTTCCAATATTGCCTGTTTCCTGCTGAGCCACTCCAACCTCACACTATGAGGTTGCACCACAGGTCAGTTTGGGTGTCTCTGAGCGCGCGCTTTCCGTCCGTCTTGCCGCACTTCTCACCTCGGTATTTTTTTTCGGTGGTGCGCCTGCACTGCAAAAGGTATTGACACCCCCATCTTCCGCGCTTATGCCTCTGAAGCGGAGTCGCAGTCGGCTCCCTCCTTTTTCCTCCCTTCTTTTCTGTGCTGTCTTTCGCCTCACGGCTAGTGAAAAGCAGAACTATTTTCGTGTCCATGTCGCGCTAGTCCTGGCCCTTCTAGATTGGAAGCTCACGGCCAGAAACTGCCGGCAGGCGACGCAGAAAACTCCCATGGTCCCACAATCACAAAAAAAGGGGAAAAGGGCATTCTACAAAATTGTTTGCCGGGTAAAATTATGTTGCCCGCCTTAGGAGTAAGAGATATAAAAGTGTACGCTTCAGGGTGGATTTGAAGAGAAAAAAAAAGGAAAAAAAAAGGGAAAAAGGGGGGGAAAAGAAGAAGAAGAAAAAGAAGAGGGAAAGAAAAAAATCGGGAGGGTCGAGCCTCAAGGATGTTACTGAAAACAACTCAAAATATGGTGGAGGCTCAATGGCCGCGGGGCTGTGACCCAAGAGGTGTGTGTGAACGCTGTTGTGTGCCAACGATATCTCTATTTTTAATACGCATATGACGTACAACCTACGTCGTACCTTTTTGCTCGTGACAGTTGTGTCAATAGTTAGGGGTGCGCTGCGTGAGTTGACAAGTCTAGTTCAGTACTAGGGAACCACAATAGCAACAACAACAGACAAGATCCGGGACGGTTGGTTCCCTCTCCCCAAGCCCCAAAAACAAAAACGGCCAATAATATTTGATGGTTGACCACTGGTTCCCAACTCCACGAAGCACAGCCTTACGAGCTTCGTAGGTTTGGACTAGTATCCGCTTTCTCTAAGAAGCTCAAAGGTATCACCTCGGCTCAACTTCGTACTTTTCATCTCCATATGATCTTGGGACAACGACCTCCCAGTGTCCGGGGGGGTCGAGGCCGTACCATAATGTGAGGACTCATCTCGTCTGCTCATCCCATCAACCCGACTGTCGACCATCGCTCACCTCCAGCCAAGAAATACGACCTGCTCGTATCACCGGCAACAGCGCATATGGCGAGGAAACAGTCGGCAACACGGAAATGAAAAAGTAGGGCATCTCAATAACTTGAAAGAACATATTACAAAAGAAAAGAAAAGCAAAACAAACAGGGTTGCAAAGAAACCTCACAGATCATAAAAGTAATTTCGCGATACGGAAATTGTCGTTGGCCCCCGTCCCGTATCTCGTCTTCCCGTCCGTCTGGGTCGTGTCGATGCCGATACTTTTGTTTGCTCTCGAGGCTGTTTTCCTACCCTGTGTCTGATTTTCTGATTTTCTGGTTACTGATTTTCGTGATCCCGCGATGTCACCTGGCCTTGTCGTTTTAGCCCTGTCCCAAGGCTCCAGTCGCCGACCTGCTGGGCCCGGCCGCTTGCCAATTTCTGTAGTTTCTTTTTCTTTTGTCTTCTCATCACAGTCGGATTTTGAATTAGATCGTCTCCGAACCATGTTTTCATCTCGCATCAAATCTCACCTGTCCCAGTATGACATTATCACATTATTTTCCATCACCCCATGAGAACCCCCCCCCCCCCCCCCCCCCTCTGCCCCGACCAAAACAGTGGGTTTACTTTCTCTGCCCTTGTCTCGGGATGTTCGTTTGCCGTGTCGATCGACTGCGTATCTCTCTGTTCCGGGAAGACCAGACTCTTGGCCCCGGCTAGGTTCCCATTACATACAGCCTTTGCTCCATCGATGGCACTGGCAGTACGGAGTAGTCATAGACGACAAAAGGATGAAGCATTGTGTTTTCTTTCTATGTTCATGAAAAAAGTTCTCTAATTTCCAAAAGCAATGCTTGCCCATCACAACGACCCGATATCAAGATCTCGGTCTATTGTTTTTGTTACTGTTGACGCTGTTGTTTTTTACAGGTGTTGTCTTGGTTGTTTGCAGAACATTTCAAGGCTGTGCGCAGCCCCGTCGGCTCTGTCCCTTTCCGCCCAACCCTCCTCCACAAGTGATGTTACAGTGACAGTAAATCATCCTCGAAAATCATTCCCAAAACTCTTCTTTATTCCAAATACCCGTCCCAGTTACGGTTTACCCAATCTGCATTTAACAAAGTGCATCTCGTAGAAACGGATTATTCCACATTCCAACTTAATGCTCTCGGCGCTTGTCTCATGTGCATCGCTCGCACCTGTTCATCTTACCGTCGTATAATGAAAACAAACAAGCATAAAGCCCAGAGACAATCTAACGGGTTACCAGTGCACGGAACACAGCACGATAGGGAAAGTACTGTGCATGTGGGAAAGTTAAGAGTACCGCAAGAGAAGAAGGTTGTTCATTGCTTGCTTTTTATTGAGTGTGAAATCGTTCCATCATCCGAGATGAGGGTTCTGTACATCGTTGCCCGAAAGAGAATGTGCTTCATAAATTCAATCTAAACTCACAAAAAAAAAGTACGATGATTTCCACGCGAACAGGGGGACTCCGCCGGATACTATGATAGCTTTCGCCCGAT